CCCCAAAACCCCAAAACCCCAAAACCCCAGAGAGCAATAATTTGAATTAAGGCCTCAATCAGCTAATTTTAGAAAATCAATTTAAACTATAATTTGAATAATATTCATTAAGTTAAGATGGGTGCAATGTGCGTTTGCTTAGGCAATGATAAATCATAATCTTCTATGGCTTTATCTTCTATATCTCCAGTATACACAATTTAAATCCTTAATAATCATATTAGACTAACAGATAAGTACCTTTGAGGCAAAGAGGACCAATGACAGCTTAATTAAAGCCTTTCTTTGACTAAGACTGCTATGAGTAAATAGATCACATTATCGAAAATTATAAGTCAGAGTTAAGGGTGCTTAGGAAAAATGATGATTAGAAAAACCAATCCAAGGTTCTTATTGTCTTATTTGGATCTTACTGTGAGATGATAAAGGACATTATATTCAAATCAAGACTAGAAGACAGAAAGAAGCTGATAACTGAGTTAGATAATTTATAAGATTAAGATTACCAAGTAAATCTGAAAATACTCAGATCTCGGTACAACAAAATATTAAGAGAGATGTTCACTGATGTGAGTAAATCTGTGACTGATATGCAGGTTGAGACTTCATAGATACTCTAGCTACCCTCTGATAGGCTTGTGCAGATGCTTGACCTATCACAGTTCAACGATGATGAAACTAACGAACTTCAGTTTAAAATTGATACCAAGTTACAATCAATTAAGAACAATGTTAAATCACCAGAAACTCCTTAGAGGAAAAGAAGAAGGGACATAAAAGTAAATGCATCGGAAGAGAAAAGCAAAGGGCGTGAGTACATTCTGAATGAATAGTTTGAAAAGAAAATCAATGATTAATCATAATTAACCGAGGAACTTTGTAGAGAAATTCTTGAATACACTGAAGACATCCAGAGAGAGTAAATAATGTGTAAGGGAAGTCCAAACAGGAAGGAATAGGATTAATTTTCAAATGATGACATATCAAGTAGTTTCAGTACTACTGACAAAGAATTTAATGAAGAAATCAACCAAATTGCTATAAATGGTTTCGAAATAGAAGATAGACTGTTCATTAGATATGGTATAACTTATGATCAGTTCAGAGATGCTCTCGAAAGATTTAACATTGACACATATGATGAGGAATTTGATAATTAGGAACATCATGATATTTGATGGGTGAATAATTAATGATTGATTAACCCGAGGAACTTATTACTTTGAGGAAATTTATACTTAATCGTTTATACTATGCATTTATTTATTAATTTCTTGACCTTACTAATTACTTAAAATGATTATTAGCGGGGTTTTGGGGTTTTGGGG